CACGAAGTCGCTGGTGCTGGGGGTGACACGGATGCGGTGCTGGGGGTCGCTACTTTTTGGCTCAGCCCTCCTGGTTAGTGGTTTTGAAGATCCTCCTGGTGGCATTTGAATGGGGGGGCTGCATGTGCCAGAGGTTTTGTGTCCCTTTTCCGTTGCTGAGCGGAGGTGGCCGTGGTCCCTGGTGCGGTTGGTGACTGGAAGTGGTGTCACCGATGCTGAAAGGTGCCACGTCCCCCCGCTGCTGGTGGCGTTTTGGGGCTGTCATGGGGTGGGATGTGGGTTCAGGGCCAGCTTGTGCTGAGGGTGCTCATTTGAGTCCCAAGGGCTTTCCGAAATGAAGGCGCTGGCGGGGATCGACCGGGTGACACCGGCAGTGTCACCTGCACTGAGCAGGGAGCTGAGACACACGTGTGGGGCTGCCCAGGGCCAGGAACAGAGGCTGCCCTGACCCAAACCAGCATCTCCTGCTGCTGCTGAGCATTGGTGGCATCTGCACCCCCTGGGGACACCCCTCGTTCTGCTCCCCCCATTGCTTTGGGCAGCTCTGGGGTGTCCTGCAGACCCCTGCCCCATCATGAGCATCCCATGGCAGTGTGTCCCCCTGCCGTGTGTCCCAGCTGTGCATGCAGGCATGGAGTTGGGGTGCAGTGCTGTTCCCCACCTTGATTCTTGTGTGTCCCCACCTTCCCAATTCAAGTGCAGCTCCTGAGCTGGTCCGGAGTGACAGAGAGAGGCCGAGGAGGGGGCTGCGAGGGGTCTTGCCCAAACTGGCACACCCCACCCCAGCGCTGTGACCCCGAGGAGGTGCTGGGTGCTGCAGCATCCCTGGAGGATGCTCAGATCCTCCTGTTTCACCCCAATCCCGCAGCCTCTGCCAGGGCAGTGTAACCGCCTTCCCCCTTCTCTCTCTGTCTCTCTGCTGTCCATCGGCACCCAAAACCCCCCAGAGCACCCACCCCTGTTCCCCATAACCCTCCATCCCTTCTGTCAGCCTCTCCTAACCTCTCTCCATCTCTTTGTGCCTCAGATGAGTTTCCTGCCCTCGCGAAGCCTCTGAAGGCCTCAGACCGTACGTCCCCTTAGCCTCTGGGTTTGCCCTCGCCGCGGGGTAATGGTTTCACTGGTTCAGGGGCTGGGAACAGGGGGCGGCTCCAGCACGGCCTCCCCATCCCCTGCAGGAGCGGGGAAAGGGCCACACTGCCCTTCCCCACAGCGGGTTTGGGGTGTCCGTGTTGGACACCCCAAAGTGATGGATGGCAGCGATGTCTTCGTGGTCTCTTGTGTTGAACCGGCCCTGCACGGGGAGCAGGGACCTTGCAGGTGATTTCTGCCCCTTCTGCTTGGGATTGGGGTCCCATAGAAATGAAGGGGAGCACAGGACCAGCTCCTGGGCTCCTGTGCTGGTTCACATCTGCAAAGCGATGCTCTCCTCCTCTGGGGACCCTTCTTGGAATGGGGAAACTGTGCCCCCTGCACAGCCCCACACCCACCTGGTGTAGAACTCAAAGAAACAGCAGCGTTTTGGTGAAAAACGGTAGGATTTTGATGAGAAATGGCAGGATTTGGGTTAAAAACAGCAGGATTTGACTGAAAAACAGCAGTGTTTTGATGAAAAATGGCAGGATTTTGGTGAAAAAGGGCAGCGTTTTGGTGAAAACCAGCAGTGTTTTGGTGGCCTCCACCCGCACGTGTGTGGTCCCGCCGCGGAGGTCCCCGTGGTGCCTCTGGGGGTCTCTAACGTCTCTTTCCCCGCACTCCCCAGCGGACGACGGGCTCGGGTTCCTGCCCACCTTCGGCCCCTGCTACGTCAACCTCTATGGCAGCCCCCGGGAGTTCACCGGCTTCCCCGACCCCTACGAGACGCTCAATTTGGGAAAGGTGACCTCGGCTTCTTCCCGGCGCCGCCTACGCTAAACCAGTGCCTCTCCTTGCCGAAAAACCACTGCTATTAACCCAAACTGGCTTTGTTATTAGGAGCCCATGCTGTGTTTTCCACCTCTGGCTTAAACACCTCCGGGTACCGCTCTGCTACCCAATCTCTTTCTGCCTTCGAAGCCTTTGCAGATAACTTTGCTTGATCCTGCTCTTCTGCAATGCAGCCGAAAAAGCTGCCAGGGGAGGGGGCAGCGGGGTCCTGACGCCTGTCCCTGCTCTGCCCCCAGGGTGAGGGGGTGGCGTATCGCGGCAGGATGCTGGTGGAGCTGGAGACCAAGCTGGTGGAGCACGTGGAGCAGAAGGTGGAGGACATTTCGGCGGATGAAATCCTGCGGGTGGAGGTAAGGGGGTCTCACCCCTCGTGGGGTCTGGGGTTGGTGGTGTGTGGGGTCCTGGGTGGGTGATGAAAGCTATGGAGGGACTTTGTACAAGGGCATGGAGTGATGGGATGAGAGGTGATGGTTTTAGACTGGAAGAGGGGAGATTTAGGGTAGATTTAGGAGAAAATTCATCATTTTGAGGGTGGTGAGGCCCTGTCCCAGGTTGCCCAGAGAAGCTGTGGGTGCCCCCTCCCTGGCAGTGCCCAAGGCCAGGTTGGCCGGGGCTTGGAGCAGCCTGGGCTGGTGGAGGTGTCCCTGCCCATGGGGGTTGGACTGGGGGGGTTTGAGGTCCCTTCTCACCCAAACCATGCTGGGATTTATGTCCCATGAGTGGTGGAGTGGTTGGTGCTGTGTTTTCATCCCAAAATGTGTCGAGCTTGCTCCATCTGCATGGTAGAGAGCAGACATGGAGGGGTGGGAGGTTTGCTTCAATAGGACCCCGGTCCCAACTCCAGCGCTATCACAGATGTGCTCCCTTTGCTCCTTTCTTCAGGATTAAACCCCATTTTGTATGGACAGTTCTAGTGTTCTCCTTCATTTTTTTCCCCTAAATACCTCACTCAAAATTCCCTTGCTGCAACGGATGCTTTTCATCCCTGCAATGGACGTTTCCATCTCGGAGGCCTCACTGAGCTGATGCGTGCTGGGGTAATGGAGGGTTTGTGTGTAGGAGAGTGGTGGTGGTGTCTTCCTCATGGACATGGGGGTGTCTTCATGGACACGGTGGTGTCTTCCTTATGAACACGGTGGTGTCTTTGTCTGCACACGGTGGTGACTTCCTCATGGACATGGTGGTGTCTTAGTCAGGACACGGTGGTGTCTTCATGGACATGGTGGTGTCTTCCTCATGGACACACAGGTGTCTTCATGGACATGGTGGTGTCTTTGTCATGGACACGGTGGTGTCTTCATGGACATGGGGGTGTCTTCATGATGGACACGGTGGTGTTTTCATGGATGTGATGTCTTCCTCATGGACATGGTGGTGTCTTTGTCATGGACACGGTGATGTCTTCATGAACATGGGGGTGTCTTCATGATGGACACGGTGGTGTTTACATGGATGTGATGTCTTCCTCATGGACATGGTGGTGTCTTCATGGATGTGCTGGTGTGTTCCTTATGGACACGATGGTGTCCTGTCCCGCTGTCTGTTGCAGAAGTACCTGCGCCGCAGGAAGTACTCCCTCTTCGCTGCCTTCTACTCAGCCACCATGCTCCAGGACGTGGACGATGCCATCCAGTTTGAGGTCAGCATCGGCAACTACGGCAACAAGTTCGACAACACCTGCCTGCCGCTGGCCTCCACCACGCAGTACAGCCGGGCCGTCTTCGATGGTGAGCGACGCGGGGTGACCGGGCACGGGGATGGGGTGCCAGGGTGGGCCTGGAGTCTCCATCTCTGGGGATATTCAGCACCCAACTGGATGTGGTGCTGGGCACCCTGTTCAGGGTGACCTCCAGGAGTCCTTGCTCACCTCAACCGTGCTGTGAAGGGGGAAAATGTGATTGAGGAGGGGGAGGGAAGCCAGGACAGCTTCTTTCATCCCTGTGCTGGCTTGAAGCAGATTTCGGGCTGCACCTTGGTGCTGACAGTGCCTGTTTTTATCAAGGAGGAGCTGGTGCTTTGGGGTGGCCTTTCCCTGGCTCTGCAGTGAGATGTCCTGGGATTCTGCTGCTTTCTGCCCTCACCAGCCGTGGAGGTTGCCTCCTGCCCCTTTGGACCCTGTGCTGTGTTGCACTGGGGTTTGGGGAACACAATCCCCATCCTCCTGCCCCAGCAGAGCCAAATGAGAGGCTTCTGCCCCAGGCCGAATGCTGCACTGCTCCCCTCCGGTCCTGGGGTCCCCCGTCACCCCAAAATCGTGAGCTCATAGGTCTGCTGTGCCCCCAGGTTGTCAGTACTACTACCTGCCCTGGGGCAACGTGAAGCCTGTGGTGGTGCTGTCGTCCTACTGGGAAGACATCAGCCACCGCACCGATGCCCAGAACCTGCTCCAGCACGCAGCAGACAGGCTGGTGAGTGCACGGTGACAAGGGACATCGTCCTCCTCCTCTCTGCATCCTGCCCAGGGGCACAGGGAGGGGACAGGGGCCATCTCTGGACTGGGTCGGGTTGGGGGTTTGATGGCTTTTGTGCTGTGGAGGGGAAATCTGTCGGTGTCCTGGGTGATGGAGGGAAAAGGGACCTCCCTCGTCCCCACTGGGGTGACAGTGGGGTGTGAACGTGATGCAGGCGCAGGAGGCAAGGACCTTCCTCAGCGTTTTATGGCTTTTCTTGCTGTATTTCACCCCCAGAGCTCCAACAGGAGCAGAACCAGAGGCACAGAACCCACCCAAGCTGGAGGTCCTGATCACAGGGAGCAGCCCCAGGCTTTCACTGGGAGGGTCCTGGATGAGGGGTGGAGGGGGATGCTGAGGGGGTCCCTGTTGTGCAGCTCCTCTTCCCCATGCCTTGCACAGGAAGCCAACCTGGAGAAGGTCCACCTTGCCCTCAAGGCCAACCGCTTGCCCAGCGAGCTGGACGCCCTGGGTGCCCAGCTGATGGACGACACCATCGCCGACTGCAGGTATTTGCTGCTGGTTTTGCTTTTGAGGAGTCTTTTCGTGCCATTTACAAGTGCTTACTTATCTTGGAAGGGACCACTTCTTTTTTTTTTTCTCTATTATTTTCTTCTTTTTCCCTCTGAAAAATGTCGTTTAAGACAAGTAATGGATTTCCAGCCTCTGTGCAAGGGCTGCAGTGGGGCTCACATCAATGGGGGGCTTTGTGTTGGGACAGGGGTCAGTGCCGGGCCACCTATGGGGCTCATGGCCACCTGTGGGGCTCTCCAGTTGAGTCTTGTGTGGACAATGTAGGAGGCACCCATACAGAGCACCCAAAGGTGTTGTCTGGTTGTGTCTGGGTGTTGCGTGTCCTCTGGCTGGACCAGGGGATGGAGATGTGGCAGGGCTGGTTGTTGCAGCCACCTCATGGGCACCACCACCAGCATCTGCCACTGCTTTGCCTTTCTCAGCACTCAAACATCATTCAGTGGAGGCTGACAGGGCACTGTGGGCTCTCTTTCCATGCAGCCTGTTTTTTTGGGGCTGGATTGCGCTTTTTTGGGGTTGAGGAGCATCGCTGTGGGAGGAGCATCGCTGTGGTAGGAGCATGGCGTTTGACCCCAAGGTGTTTCAGGGACTGGACTCAGCAGGGTCTTTGGGTTCCCCTTCAGCTGTGCTCATGAAGAGGATCTTTTAGACAGGATGTTAGGAAAAACCTTTCCAAAAGGCCAGAGCATGGATGTGGTTTTTAGCCACATGTGGAGTTGGGTTGACGTTGGACTTGGTGATCTTAGGGGTCATTTCCAACCTTGGTGACTGTGATTTTGTGACTCTCTGCCCGTCCCCGCAGCCTGGCCCTGCCTGACGTCCTGGGGAAGCCGTGCAGCACCCACCTGGACCAGAACCTGTACCGCTTCCGCAGCGCCCACCTGGAGCAGATCGTGACGGCGGCCCTGAAGCTGAAGCACGAGGACTCGAGCCTGGCGGCGGCTCTGGAACAGGCAGAGGACTGGCTCTGCAGGCTGAGGGCCATGGCAGAGGAGGTAACGCTACTGCCATGGTGCCAGAAGATGCTCTTCACCTTGGGGGGTCTTGTACTGGTGCTGTTTTGGTGCCGTGGCTGTGAGTGTGGTCCGTGGCAGAGCTTTTCATCCACTAAGCCCTCACCCAGAGACCTGGGCTGGATGTGGAGGGCAGGGCTGGGGGAAATGTGGGGCTGCTCTGCCCTGGTCAGACCCAGAGCTGCTAGGATGGGGTTTGGGTCAACTGCTCTCACCCCATGGGTTTGGGCTGGGGCTTGGGGCATGGCTGCTCTGCTGCATCCTGCGTCCCACGGATAGGATGCGCTGGTTCAGAGCCCCCGGGTCGGACACCCCGTTTTTGGTGTTTTCCAGCCCCAGAACATGCCCGACATCGTGATCTGGATGCTGCAGGGAGACAAGCGCGTGGCCTACGCCCGCATCCCGGCCCACCAGGTCCTGTTCTCCAGGAGCATCCCCGGCTGCTGCGGCAAGAACTGTGGGAAGCTGCAGACCATCTTCCTCAAGGTACCGCGGCTGTTCCGGGTGGTGGGCAGGGCTGAAATGTCTTCACCCTAAAAAAAACCAACCCAACCCCCTCCAACTTATATTATATGTTCATATATAAAGTTATAAATAT